TACTTCTAGGAAAGTTGCAAAACAGCCCCGACAGTTTCCAAATATCCCTCACTCATCTTCCCCAGTGCCATTGGCTTACATAACCATGTACAATTGTCAGGAAAAGGAAATGAAGTCTGCTTTAACACTGTCAACTAAACACCTGTCTTGAATTTCGACACTAATGTTCTTTTACTGTTCGAGAATCTACCCAGGCTCCCACTTGCATTTATTTGCTACTCCTCCTTAATCTTCGGCAGTCTTTCAAAGACTACCATTCCTCAGCCTTACCTTCTCTTTAATGACTTGCCATTTAAGAATAGTATTGATCAGTTATTTTGTTAAGTGTCCCTCCTTTGAGTCTGCTGATATCATGTTTTCTCGTGATTGGACACGATTGCACATATTTGGGACAAAAGTACCACAGATCTGATGGTGTGTCCCCCTCAGTGCATCGTATCACAAGGTTCACGATGTGTTATTTCCTTGTACTGTTGACCTTGATCACTCACTTGGTTAAGGTAATGTCTGCCTGGTTTCTCACTGAAAGGGGCCACCTTTCCCTCTGAGGTCAATACTTGAGATACTTTGAAGCTATGGATATACATTTCTCTTCAAAATTTCAAGCACTAAATCTAGCATCGATCTGAATTTTGTCTGTTAACAGTTATAACTGTAGTTTGCCTAATGGTGATTTTCAGTTTTCTTCTTTCCTTCTATATTTATTCATTGAAATTTACTGTAAGGGAGAGCTTTTCTTTGTCTTCATTTATTTACATCAGTATGGACTCTACTTTATCCTATGGTTTAAAATCCAATAATAGCATTATTTATTTTGCTGCTCAAATATGTAAACCATGATATTTTTAATTATGAAAATGTTCTCCTAAGCACAGAGACACCTAATAAACTCGGAGAAAATTCTGCTAAATGGAAGATATTAATATTCTGACTATAGAGCTCTATTAAAATGTGTAAATATTTGATCTGAAATATTTTCATAGAGACTGTCTTTTTGTCCCCATTTTCATTCTTTTCATTCTTTATTTTTACAAAATAAAACTCATCAAATAAGCTGTTTCTATTTATGATTTTTTAATATTTTTCTAAATACAGATATTGTAAAATCTGGTACAGGATATAACTTTATCCTATTAAATACGAGCTCTGTCAAAAGCTTCTTTTCATAAGTCAAGTCTTCCAGAATCAATTATAAAATGTCAAAATTAAATCTTTTCCACAATATGAATTCTCATTGTTTTGTTTTTTTAGTTAATTCCTTGTTTTCATAGGGATAAATTCTAGTATCTATCCATCTGCAATTTTGTTTTCAATAATTGCAGTTGTAAAGACTGAAAAGCTGAAGTTACTCCTTCCCTCTGTTTGTTGACTTTCTTAACTAAAGAACTTCTAACTGATTTTGAACAAAATACAATTTCTAAAAGCTGGTTAGTGACCAGTAGCAGCAAAAAAAAAGAAAAATTTGCATGGTCATGCGTAAGATTATTTTTTAAATTAACGTCAACTTGGCTTCCAAATATTGCATATAATTCATTCTAATTTTGAATATATAAAACTATGTGTGAACTTTGACTACAGTTACCATTTCAGTTCTGGAACTAATTCCTGTGAATGCCGAAGGACAGCTTTCTGCTTTAAAATGATAAGCATGGTCTTTTTAAAATAATGACTAATTGTTGATGCAGATGTTGCTGCTTCTTCAGTAAATTTCTGTCTTCTGATTGTTTTATGGGTCAGTGACAGCATTGAAGACCCCAGGGTAAATGGTACTTTGTGTGTCATATGTTGACCATCAACCTTCTTGAGAAATAGAAAATCAATACTTAATTTTGATTAAACGTGCATATGTTAAACCCTCACTTATGAAGGAGTTTATTGCAAAATAAAATAAGCATAACCAGACAGTTAAAAGGTGACAGATTTACATCAGACGATAAATAACCAAACTACTGCAGCAATAGCATCCAGGTGCTCAGTAGCAGAACCACTCAGCCTCTGCTTCCCACATGCATTTCACTTGCATCTAATCTTTAATTCCTTACATGACCCACGAAACCCACTGACTGCTATCCTAGTGGCTTCATGCTTCCCACTGGTCCTGGCATGGGCCACCCAGCACGGGTCACAACACAACTAGCTGCTGTACTGTGGATGGCAGGGTTTGTAGCATCAAATACATCTCCCACCACCACCGAGAACAGGAAGCAGTTAGCTGTTGCTAGCTTCTCATGTCCTAATGTCATCATTTTATCAGCCAGTGCCCTGTATGCTGTACTTCAAAGGAAGATGTAAGCGTCCTTGAGACTAGAAGAGACTGGGAAAGCAGAGATGGGCTCTCTTTCAGAGTTTACCATGTGAGAACTCTGTCAAATGCACCTGCCTCTTACACTCTACTAAGAGAGGCCATGTCAGAAACTGAAGTACTATATAGCGGTCTTACCAAATCTCTTATGATGCAACTATTAATAATGATCCTCCTTTAAAAAGGAGAAAATCCAGGACAAATGCTAAACTGAACTGAGTGTTTGAATAATAGGCCAAAACCAGGATGTTCTAGGCAAATCAGAATTTGTGACTCCTTAAACCTGGAATTGTTTTTGCACATGCAACCAGCCCCTACATTTTGTCTGTGCTTTCTTCCATGTTTCATTGGAATCTGACCCCTATTTCTCTTACCGCTGTATCCACCTTAGCCTAGATGTTTGTTGCCACAAGGCTGAATTATCTGTAATGACGTACTTACTGGTCTTGTACTCATTTTCTCCTCTATCCCTTCTCTTCATACCAACCATAGTTTTCTTTGTCCAGAAACTTTCGTGTCTCATCACATCTTTGCTGAAAAATCTTTTAATGGCTCCTCATTACCTGCAGGGTTAATTCCAAGCTTTGATTCCAACTACAGCCTTTCCCTATTGTATACTTAGAGATTCATTTCTTATTCCTCCCTTACATGAATCCTTCACTCAAGCTTGACTTGGTCACTCACCATTTCCTTAACATCCTTGGTATTTGGCACCTGCTGTCCATGTTTTTGTTCATGTTCTTACTTCCACTTAGTCTTCCCAACCTGGACCTTATTTGCTGAAATCTGATCTATACCTTTAAGCCCAAGGAACATTTTCAAGAATTCTCCTCTGATTCCCCATCTAGAAATAATCTCTTTATCCACCAAAGTTCTGCAGTAGAATAGAAAATACTCTGATGATGTATTACACAAATATCTTCAATTCAAGGGGCTATTTGCAAACTTTTGAAGGACACAGATCATCTCTTTCATCTTTTGATACCTGACAATGTCACACAGCACCCTAATTATTGTACATTCTGCTGCTTAACAGCTATTCATTGTGTGAATAAATAAATGACCAGTGAATCCACACTAAAGTGACAATAAATAGAGTCCCTCCTTTAGAAAATATTTGTATAGTTCATTGGAAACTATATTAGTCGGCTTGGGCCACCATAACAAAATAACATAGGTTGGGGGGCTTAAGCAACACATTGATTTCTCACAGTTCTGGAGACTGGGAAGTCCAAGGTCAAGGTGACAGCAGGTTCACTCCCAGGGAGGATTTCCTGGCTTGCAGAGAGCCGCCTTCCTGAGTCCTCACGTAGTGAAGAGGGAACTCTATCTCTCTTTCTCTGCTTATAAGGACACTAATTCCATTCTGGGTCAACCCCCCTTGTGACTTCATCTAAACTTAAATTACCTCCCAAAGGTCCCCCCTTCTAGTGGTACCATCATGCTGGGCTTTAGGACTTCCAACATATGAATTTTGGGGGAACACAAACATTTAGCACATAATGGGGATATTTAATCACAAGACATGACTGAATTTAAACCTGTCTGTGGGAGAATCTTTTTGAGTGGTCTGGCCTTTTGGTATGTAACACACTTCAAATAGCCAGGTTGCTTCACCTTTGTACAAGGTCAGTCTTGCGTATTAAACTTTGGGTCTTCCTTAAATGCCAAACAAAATCAATTTTGTGCCATTTCTATACCTCTGATCTCCATTAACTAATAGACATAATAAATAAAGATATAAAGTATGAATGTGTGTTTGTGTCTCTGTGTGTCTCAGAGAAAGGATCCATATCAAACTGATAACAGTGGTTACTTAAGGGGAGGTGAGTCACATTGAAGGGATTTATTACTCTGTGTACTTCTGAATTGTTTTAATATTTTGTAACAAGCATATATTGCATGTTATGTGTGAAATGAAAAATGATTACAACACATTTTAAAGATTTCTTAGCCTACCTGGCACTGTGTGTATATGTAGTACCTTGGATGTGGCAACTGCCTTCAAGGAGTTCATAACACAGTATCCCTTTGAAATTCCCAAGCAACATTGCACATGTAAAATAAATAGATAAATGACCAATGAAGGGAGAAAATGGGAAGAATAAAAACTTGACTCAATACTTTTCCATTGATTATGCTGTATTTTTTTTTTCAAAATCTTACTGGAATAAGAAAATAAGCTATTGCTGTTTGAGAGTAAAAACATATCTGGAAAGCAATACCATAGAGAAGAAAAGAGAAAAGCATGGGAAAAGTAAAAGTTGTTAAGTGTTTTATTAATCATATAAACTTTCCACCCAAGAGAAAAATCACAATCCAAAAAAATCAATGGATTCGTAGGCATAAGAGCTAAAAGACGCTGTGACTAAAATCAGTAAAGCTACTAAAGTATTTAAATGTTTAATTCTTTAAGAATCAAGTTAGATGTTAGCCATAAAACCAAATGAGAGAACATCTGGAAGGCAAAGAGGTTGAAAGATTGAAAATTAAAAAGCAAATGGTGCACTGAGTGCTACTGAGGGACTTCAGCAAATGGATGTAAAGCCATTTGAAAATAAATACAGAGTTTGTGTAATTACCATGAGCCTGAAGATGGGTTTAGCATTTATATATCTCCTGGGAAGCTTGGTGAGTCAGAAACATAAAACCAAAGCGAAGGGAGGCTATTAAAACATTATTTCCTGTTGCATTGTAGAATTCGAGATGAGAATAAACATACCGATTACTTGCATGGCCGGTTCCACGTCTGTTGTGGCCTCTTCCAGCAATGACAGCAGCTTGGCTGATATCTGATGCACAGATTCAATGTTGCTAAACAAGCTATCCACGTCCAGCCGATCAATCTGAAGATACAAAAAGTGAGCACCAGCGGATGAAGAGAGACACATAGTATTTAACATGTTTCTCCTGCTAAACAGTAAGCGTTTTCTATGCCAGCCCATACTGCTTCCATCAACTGTTTCTGTAAACATTCTTACTTGGGATTTCTGGAGTAAATGTGCAGTTTTTCATGCAAGAAATTGGGATGGTGCATCTGTTGTTACCTCTGTCTTTTTCTTTATTTGGACTAAGTTTTAATGAGTTGAGTGTGTATCTACATATTCCTGTAAGAACCAGAGTGGAAAGAAGAGTTGGGCCACCGAACTGGCATTTTATTAACTGCCCTGCATGAGGGTATGCACTCGTGCATGTGAATTTAGAACTCTTTACTGCTTAGACAGCAGAAGTCAGACCTTACTCTAGGCAAGTGACTATTTTCAAAACTGCTTTAAAACCACAGATGTTCTCAAAGTGATGACAAGTCGATTTGCTGAGTTGTTTCCTGCTTTTTGTTCCTTAAAAGAAATGTGAGCGGAAATCTTCACCAAACATGTTTTACTAATTAAAGATTCATCGTAGTTTATAACTTCATGCACACCCTCAAAAACTAGCATAATCATTCCTAGATCTTATAGCTGGTGCTTATACTAATTTATTTGTTCATAAATCTATCCTTTCACTAAATAATTCCTGAGGTCCTTCCATGCACCAAGAATTGTAACAGAAGCCAACCTGTCACAGGCATTGGATGATTAGTAGAGGGATGGCCAACTGTCCTAAGCATCTAAGAAGAGTGTGGTGAGATACGTGCCCTGATTTTGCTGGCTCCTACTCAAAATCTTTCTCTTGATAGTCAGATCTCCTTTTATAATCGAACAGTGTCTAGCTGGGTTGTGAACAGCTTGGGCCAGGCTCCACCGGGCTGCCACAGGGAATAGGAGCAGGTGCCTTTTATTCATGGCTTATTGTGCATGGGGCCATAGGTGGATAACCAAGTCATCAATAATCAAGTCATGGAGAAGCTTCAAAGGTGAAAAACTGAGTTACTGGTCCAAAATGAGGTTGGCAAAATTAGAGGTGAGAGAGACACAGGGAGTTCAGCTAAGGATCGGGAAAAAAAGGGGGGGTTGCTGAGAAATTAAGAGAAATCGGGAACAAGGGATATTAGGATAAGAGACAGACCTGGAAAATTCTGGAGATGCAGACCAAACACTGCAGCATTTTTTCTAGGCTCTCAGCATCCCTTTCCTCAGGTGTGCTAGGTCTATTTAGAGGGGAGAAAGGAGGCAGGCTGCTCATCTTTTCAACCCATTCTTTTTTGACAGTGACCTCATTCTTGGCGTTGTTTCCTATACTGGACATGGAGATTACTTTAATCAGGATGTTCTGCTATTAAACATGGCAGCGATACTTCGCAGTGCACCTTGTTTAGTTTTGTGATCCTGTCAGTCATTTCTTACGCAATATGGTCTGACTGGATACGTATCTTTCAACCATCTTGGGAAATTCCTTACCTCCCTGGCATGGGTCTGGTCCTCTAGAAAACTCTCAGCCTCATTTGTAATCAAGTTCTTAGTGATTGTATGTAGGGGGGTAATTTCATTATAGAACTGCACAACTTTTTTTTCTTTTTTTTATGTATTCTGAAACTATCTAAATTGTCATACTTCATTAGTAATAATGCAGTCATGATTAGCTCTTAGGGTCTTCAACCCAGTATCTCACAAACTGTTTCTTTGTTAAGCACTCATTCTAACAGGGTAGGGAGCACATGGCTCTTCTGCCTGAAATCTGGATTTTCAAGACTTTTAATTTCTGCATTAGAAAGTATTTTTAGGATATTAGAAAGTATATTCAGTATTATACAATACATCTAAAAGGCAGATAACAGCTATATGGCTCTTTTTGTTAATCATAATTTTAAATGGTTCATATTTCACAAATCTCTGAGTACCACAGATTTGCCACATTATTTTTCCTTTATGTATTGGGTATTAATTAAGTCACAAAGGTATAACTTGGCATAGTATAAAATATGTCTTGCAAAAGTTGAGTATGAGTCAAGTTTTTGTAGACTGATCTATCTTAGATATGCTGGTTTAATATTTTTTAAAATCACATTTTGAAATGAATCCTTCTAAAGCATAAAATTGTATCCCTCATTTACTTGCTTTATAAGCAAGTATTTCATATAATATACAGGCCATTATTTCATTTTGTTGTGAAAACTTCATTCGGAGGAACTTAAAGTGCTTCATATTTGTTATTTCATGTATCATTCCAACTTCTTTGTAAAATATGAACCAAGTTGAAGATAGGAAACTCACGCAGAGTGAAGAGAGATACCATGCCCAAAATTATGAAGTTCAAGACAGAGCTGGAACTGGAAATTGACCATTTAGTCCATTACCAGCAACTATTAGTAATAGAATACTTTGTCATCTCTGTTTGGAATTTTGGTTTGTTCCTGAGTTTTTCACTAAGTTGTCATTTCCATAATTTATTTCTCAAGGTCAGAATCCTGCATATCTGTCTAATTTAGATTTTAAATTCATTTAGCAAGGATCTAATTCTGTATTCTATCTATAATCTTGGCTAAATGCAACAAATACTAAACAACAAAAAACATAGGTTTTGATTTCTATTCTTTCTGAAGGACAGAAAGGATTAAAACATCAATTGGCCTGGTTTCAATCACCCGTATCAGCACAGGCCCATGGAGATTCTGCAAATGATAAAATGAACTCACATTCAGTCACTGCTATGCCAAGGAACAAACAACTGTCTAGTCCAAATAGGCTTTTAAAACTGGTAGATGATTTTATAATTATTGATGTAAATTCAAGGAAGCATTTATATATATTTATTATTTATTTACTAGAAATGGACAATGCTCTAAGAGCTTAGGTTGAGTTACATTTTAAATGAAATTAAATTCATTTTTTTGTAAAAAAGATTTAGTCTAAGTATAGATTATTCTAAGCAAAGTCAATATGTAGTAATTCAATGCAAAAAAGAAAAAGTAAAGGTCACTCTTTTTGGTGACAATTTAATTCTTTGCTTCACAAAAGTATTCACAGAATATACTTCAAATAGCAAGTTTCCATTGCACTTAAATAATTGCTGAACTTACAATTGTATGTATGCAGAACTCTCCAGGCTTATAAATGTCTAAGTAAAAGAAAACACACGGATAAAATTTTATCAGTCCAGAGACTGTAATCGTTGGTATAGAATTACTTTGACACCACAGGCACCTTACATTTGAAAGCTTTCCTTCCATTTTCCTCATTCACATCGTAGCCCATGCTCTTCCCTTTACCCTCATATTACTGTCCAACACTTTTTCCATATGAAATGGACTTTGGTAATGGTAGTATTTGCCCAGTAGTTCTGTCCATCTCTCTGCCCTTTCTGTTGCTTTTTTGAGTGAAGCCCCAGCTTCCCAGCTTTATCTGATCTGGTAGAATTCTCAGTCATGGTGCCTGCTCCCCGCTTTCCACCGCCAACCCCAACACCGACTCCCTGTAGTGAGGGGCATGTGACCCAGCTGGCCACAGCAGTTGGCCTAGGATGGCAGGTTCCTAAGCAGGGCCAATGAGACTCTTCACTGATTTTTAATAGATGGTTGTTGAGAAATAGAAGGGCCTGGATTGTAAGCCCTAAGAGTGTAAGTTTCTGTATTTAGCAGTCGACTTTGTTGTAAAGTCAACAGTCTTGACTGTTGAAAGGAGCATTAAGCCTGACATCATTACATTAGCTCCCGGATTTACCTTGCCTAAAGCAAACCATCCTTCTTACAGAAGCTGATAAACCACTTTTTAAAATTCAAGCTAGTTTGAAGTTTATTTGTAACCTATAACCAACAGGGGTCTAGTATACTCTTCTTTATTCCTAGCCAAAATCTCACTTCCTCTAAGAGAACTTTCCTGCTCCCTTGGTTGGAATTAACCTTTCCCTCTCCTATGCTTCTGTGACTCTTGTTTTGTATCAGCCAATGCTTACACTGAAGCCTGTTTTATATACATATATACATGAGATATGTACTAATTTATCTGTCCTTATGTAGAAACTGAGTTCCTCCAGGTCATTTGTCTTTGTGAATTATTTGAATGCCCCACTGTGTCTAATACAGTGCTAGGCTCCTACCATTTACTCAATAAAAGTTTAACAGTTTGAATTGAATTTAATCACTGCAATTCAAATGATATTTTCTCTGTGGGAGCCATCAATAAATGTTCCTGCTCTTCACTCTACTGAGCTCTGAGTAAGAAGTATAAGGAGATCAAAAGTGATTTAAAGAAAAAAATCAAAATTATCTAATTTGGTTGTTCAAAATATCACATTAAGCACTTATTTTATAATTTTCTGCTCAGTTTTATCCACAAAGACAAACTGTTGTGCTCAGTTTGGTCATTAGTAGATCTGGAAGATTCGTGGACAGAAGCTACACTTCCCCTTAGTTTACACTTGGAAAGTCCCTATTTATTGTTTTCTGTTTAATGAGCCTTGGGTCACCCAGCCTAAACCTAGTCACAGAGAGGAATAACCAAGCATCCTTAGGTGTTGTTCAGACCCCAACCACAACACCTTTAAAAGTGAATATTGAAAACAAGTTGAGAAACAAACTCTTTTCTTAAAAAAAGTAAACTATTTTCGTAAAAATAGTTCCCATTCATTGTGGAAAATTAAAGATGGACAGATAAGTAAAAGAAAGAAAATATAGTTGCATGTAATTCTATCACACAGAAATAACCATTGATATTGTGAGGTAGGTCATGCCTAATTGTTTTCCTTTCTCTCTGTGCGTACATCTGTACGAAAGATTTATATATTTCAAATAATGTTTTAAAGTTTGAATTTTTTTAAACTTAGCATAACATGAACATGTTTTCTTGTCATCAGTTTTCTGCAGTTGCACCATTTGAAATGTCAAGATTATATAGAAATACTATAGTCTACTTAACCAGTCATTAAATCTTTGAAATCTAGGTAGATTGCCATTTTCGCTGTTTATAAGCAGCTCTCCTGGCTAAAACCTTGTTTATACCCATGATTATTTCCTTATGATAAATTTCTTAAGTATAATTATTGAGC